TTTTTTTTTTTAAATTTTTTTATTTTATTTACTCTCTGATCTGATAAATTTATAGTTATTTAGTTCTGAGCTATTCTAATTTGTTTCAGTCTTATGTTTTTTCTTCTTGCAGTTTTGAGTGATTTGTCTGAATCTGGTGACTCTGTCTTCTTTCTTACACTGATCAAGACTTCAATTTTGTTGAAGGTATGTAATGGGTTCACTGTTTTTTTCTTGTTTACACATCAATATCTTTGCTTGTTCCTTGTTGGGCTTTGTTTGTTATTGCATTGTCTTGAAAAGGTTGAGATAAAGATTGTGTCTTTATTTTTCTGCATAATTGCAAAATAATGATGGTTCACATGGTAAAAAATTGTATCTTTATCTTTGTTTTTTGCCTAATTTTTACATTTTTTTCATGTTTTCTTTGGGAGCTCACTATGTATCCATTTTGTAATGGTTATGGCTGTGAATGTGATTGATATCCCCTCATTTAATAGACTAAAAAATGGTGGCTTAAAGGAAAAAAAAAGGAGGCAAAAAATTCAGCAGCTTTGTAGAATTGCATATCCATTCGAGCCCATTACGTGATTTCCCGATTTCTTGCAGGAAGTTCGGTTCGGTTCGTTTACTAGAGTCCCGATTCAAAAAAGATGGCGACTTTCGGCGATATAGGGGTAGCAGCAGGGATAAACATCCTATTTGCAGTGGCATTTTTAGTTGCATTTGCTATTTTACGGCTCCAGCCGATTAACGACAGGGTGTATTTCCCAAAATGGTACCTTAAGGGCTTGAGGAGCAGCCCGATACGTTCGGGCTCGTTCGTGGGAAAATTCGTAAATTTGGATTGGAGATCGTATGTTAAGTTCTTGAATTGGGTGCCCGATGCTTTGAGAATGCCCGAGCCGGAGCTTATTGATCACGCGGGGCTCGATTCAGCCGTGTACTTGCGGATTTACTTGTTGGGGTATGCTAATTTATATCTGCTAAATAGTTTATATAAATAACTAGTCTTTTTGAGGTTCATTTATATAAAATTATGCTTAATTTTTTGCTAATTGCATTTGCAGACTGAAGATTTTTGTTCCTATATCATTACTTGCTTGGTCTATTCTCGTGCCGGTTAATTGGACAAACAACACCTTAGCAAAATCCCTTGCAACCGATAAGGTACAATATAGTGACATCGACAAGCTATCCATCTCAAACGTACCGTTCGGATCACTAAGGTTCGGTTCGTATATTTCACTTTTTAATTAATTAATACCTTCTTTTTTTGTGTGAGATAAGAAATTTAGAATTATAATAAGCTCTTACCAATTAAGAATCAATTTTGTTTATTTATTTAACAGGTTTTGGACTCATATTGTAATGGCCTATGCCTTCACTTTCTGGACTTGCTTCACTTTGAGAAAAGAGTATGCAAATGTGGCATCTATGCGCCTGCATTTTCTTGCTTCAGAAAAACGGCGTCCCGACCAATTCACGGTAAATACGCAACTTATTTCTTAACAAATTTTCACCGAAAAGATACATTTTTTTTTTTTGTCTTGAATGTGGGTTTTTGATGCATGAACATATCGAACTTTTGTTGATTTAATATTTTTCACGTGGACCAGTTTTTACGCCTTTTTTTACCTGTTTCGTTGTGATTTTTTACTTACTATTCTGCACAGGTCCTTGTGAGAAATGTGCCGCCCGATCCGGATGAGACAGTGAGCGAATGTGTCGAGCACTTTTTCTTGGTCAATCACCCGGATCACTATCTTACACATCAGGTTTTGTTTTCTTTGAGCTAAATCATTTTTTTTAAAAAAAAAAATAATCTTGAATCACAAGAGAAATATACATCTTTTTTTTTGTTCAGATTTTCAGTACATTTTCTGCAGGTAGTAATCAATGCCAATAAACTTGCGGAGCTCGTAAAGGAGAAGAAAAGCAAGCAAAACTGGCTCGACTATTACCAGTTAAAATATTCACGAAACCAATTGCGCAGGCCCATGACAAAGGTTTTGCGGCTTTTCGAACATTTCCAAGTCAACTAATTGGTCAATAATGTAATAAAACATTCAAGTAATTTTTTTTTTCTTGCAGACCGGTTTTCTCGGCCTCTGGGGAGAACAAGTGGATGCTATCGATTACCAGTCGGCCGAAATCGAGAGATTATCTAAAGAAGTAAGTTTTCCGAAAGGAAAGAAAAAAAAAACATGTATAGTATTAGTACTACATTATTGATGGATTTAATTGCTGAAAATTTGCAGATAGCTGAGGAGAGGGAAAGAGTGAAAAACGACCCGAAGTGCATAATGCCGGCAGCTTTTGTCTCGTTCAAGACAAGGTGGGGTGCAGCCGTTTGTGCCCAAACACAACAAACAAGAAACCCGACTAACTGGCTAACCGAGTGGGCCTCCGAGCCACGTGACGTGTTATGGGACAACTTGGCAATCCCCTACGTTTCGCTCTCAGTTAGGAGGCTCGTTGTTTCGGTTGCTTTCTTTTTCCTCACATTCTTCTTCATGATCCCGGTTACAATTGTTCAATCTCTCGCGAATATTGAGGGTATCGAGAAAAGGGCGCCTTTTTTGAAGCCTATTATTGAAATGTGAGTAGTATATACTATATATATGTTTTTTTTTCATTTTTTTCTTTTTTTATATTTTGTACTGTATTTTTACATTTGACGAGCAATCCTTTTTCACTATGTGTAGACCTTTTATCAAGTCGGTGATCCAAGGTTTCTTGCCGGGGATTGCTTTGAAGATATTCCTCATTGTGCTCCCAACCATACTTATGATGATGGCTAAATTTGAAGGCTTTTTGTCGATATCGTCCCTCGAGAGGAGGGCCGCCCTGCGATATTACATCTTCAACTTTGTCAACGTTTTCCTCGTTAGTGTAATTGCAGGAACTGCATTTCAACAACTCGACAGCTTTCTCCATCAGTCTGCAAATGAGTACGCTATTACTCCAACTTAGGTTATGTTTGGTAACTAAATAAGCTAGCTTATAGCTGGTGAGTTTATAAGCTTTCTATATTCAAATAAGCTTTCTTTGGTAGAATGAGCTTTTTAAAAGGATGGAGCTTATCTCATAAACTTTTGTTGGGTAGCTTTTCTAATAAGCTCGTTGAAATTTTTGTATTATATAAGGTAGTTTTTCAGCTATAAGCTATAAGTCATAAGCTATAAGCTATAAATAAATTAGCTTTATCAGCTAGTTTTACCAAACATAACCTTAATGTAGCAGTACTCTCTTTTCCTAACTAAAAACTTAGTCGTAAAACTAGCAAAAAAAAAAACACAATGTACCCTTTTTTAGGGTAATAAGAGTTTGTAAAGTATTTTTGATTTTTTTCTTTAGAATTCCGAGAACGATTGGTGTGGCAATACCCATGAAAGCAACTTTTTTCATCACGTACGTGATGGTGGACGGTTGGGCCGGTGTTGCCGGCGAGATTTTGAGGCTAAAGCCTTTGATATTTTTCCATTTAAAAAATTTCTTTCTGGTGAAGACCGAAAAGGATAGAGACGAGGCTATGGACCCAGGGAGCATCGGCTTCAACACGGGTGAACCACAAATACAATTATACTTTCTTCTGGGACTCGTTTATGCTGTGGTCACGCCGATTTTCCTCCCTTTCATATTGGTTTTCTTTGCCTTGGCTTATGTCGTGTTTCGTCATCAGGTACATACACATTAGCAACTCAAAACTCGAAATAGCAAGAATACTTTCTTTATTTTTATTTATTTTTTTCTGTTTTTTTTTATCGTCAGATAATAAACGTGTATAACCAAGAATACGAAAGTGCCGCAGCATTTTGGCCCGATGTGCATGGTAGAATAATCTCGGCTCTCGTCTTCTCGCAACTCGTCTTAATGGGACTTATGAGCACAAAAGGAGCTGCCCAGTCAACCCCATTTCTAGTTGCTCTTCCTGTGTTGACCATATGGTTCCATTTTTTCTGCAAAGGTCGATACGAATCAGCTTTCCTTAAATATCCATTGCAGGTACTTTGTGCGAACTTTCTACAATTTTTCGATTTTGAAAAAAAAAAAAAAGACAGAGAATTACAAAACAACTAACGAACTGTTTATATTTAAGAGTCGATTGTTTTTGTATGTGTGCGTGAATATTTTTTCTAGGAAGCAATGATGAAAGACACGTTAGAGCGCGCACGAGAACCGAACCTGAACTTGAAAAGCTATCTACAGAATGCATACGTTCATCCGGTTTTCAAGAATGACGAGGAGGATGAAGATGAATGTGATTATGACGTTACGAGCGGAAAAATAGAAGAAGAAAACGTGTTAGTGCCCACGAAAAGACATTCGAGAAGAAATACGCCTCTTCCCAGCAAGGCCAGCAGTGGATCGACAGCGCCACTTTCTGATTTTAATGGAAGAAATTCAGATTCTTGAATTTCTCTATAGCTTTTTTTTGTAGATCAAACAGTAGAAAATAGCTAAATTTTCTTGTTAGATTTGATTATTTAGGGATTTTCCTTTCTGTGGTCTCTTCATAAATGAAGAAGCATTGCAAGTTGAACAATTAATTGATGTTCAAATTTTTTTTCCTCAAACAATTCTATAAGTTAAAATCAAACAAAGGGGACTGTGAATTGTGTACAAAAGCTATATTTACATTCAGGCTTGTCCAGTAAAGCAACTAATCAGAACACCATGATCAAGGGAAAAAAGTTCATACAAAATTTGATCTCAAAACAGCCATAAAAAAAAAAAAATATATTAAAATAAACAGATAAATTAAGGTACTATACTTTTTTCTTCGGGTATTCCCTTGCTCCAAATATGGTCGATCCAACTCTAACACTTGTACTGCCCATCTCAATCTACAACAATGACAACAACAAAAAAACAAGAGTTGGATCAGTCGTGTCTAGTGTTGTAAACGAACCGAACCGAACTGAGCTTGGATGTTCGAGCTCGTGTTCGTTTACGTTCGAACAGTGTTCATGTCCGTTCGTTTATTTTTCGAGCTAAAAATCGTGTTCGAGCTCGTTCGTTTAATTGTTCGTCAAAGTTCGAGTTCGTTGGTATTCAAATAGTTTAATACATAAATTTTTTAAATATGTTTGCTTAACTTGAAATTTGTTCGTTCGAACTCGAACATAAAAAAATAAAATAAAAATATTTTTATATTTTAGATTTTTTATTAAAAATATTATGTAAATATATAAATAAATAAATAAAATTATATTAAATTAATGTTCGCGAAAATTATTGAACGTCCACGAACTCGTGTTCGTTCGATTATTAAACGAGCCTAATTTTTTGTTCGAACTCGGCTCGATTTAACAAACGAACGAGCTTTTGTCGAACACGAACGAGCTTCTGTTCGCGAACGTTCAGTTCTTTACAGCTCTAGTCGTGTCTATTTGTCAGTTGACAGCAAAATTTGTATATTGATTGAACTTCAGGAGATAAATTCGGAGGTCACTTGTCAAGTATGTTTAAAAATCAATCACTGTAAAGTGCTTGTTTAGAACTGAATTCAAGAAGATAGCATGTGAAAACAACTCACAGCTTGCTCAAAGTCTCCAGACATGCCCATCGATAGCTCACATTCGTGTTCTTCCATATCAAGTGACTTACAAACCTCAATTCTACAGTTGGATAAAGTCTGGACATAAAAAAGGGAGAGAAAAAAACAGAAAAATTAAATACTAAATTCCACCAGTGAGATCGATCAGGGCAAACTTTGGTGAGAAAAAGATTGTACGGATATGAAAAATCACGAATAATTTAGTATATATACTCTACCTTGAAGTTCTCAGGGGTTGATGTGTAATCCGGCATTCCTATTGTCATGAGGCCACAAAATTCAAGGTTAGGGCAGTTCATCCTGATGTGTTTAGCGAGCTCCACGCATCCAGTGGGCTCAACACCAGATTTAGCTGAAGTCATGAAAACATAAATCTTTTAGCTCACTCGCCTTTTTTTTTTTTTTCACAAGGGATTATAAAAAATTCGAGTTTGATTACCAAACGTAAAGTGGAAAGCAAAATAAAATCCCATCTATCAGGACATACACAGGTTACCCACATTCTTCACCACTCGTGTTTACTTGGACCAACACTTTCAGCGGTTTCCGCCCGATGTTACCAATAGCACGATTAAGATGGTTCGCTATCTGCACAGGACAAAAAAAAGAGGGTTAGTAATTAGAAATAATATTTAGTAGCACTATAAGTAAATAAAATATTGGGACATCCAAGATAGTAGCATGCAAAAGAAAATTTCAACTACAACCATTAAACACACTAGAATTAAAATTTGCATTTTGGCTGGAATAGAAAATTCCCGTTCCATTCGATTTCTAATAATAAAAATAAAATCCATTTATTCAACTAAAAGAAATTATATATTAGTAACGTTGCCACAATAATAAAGGTATCATAAAATCAGAACTAAATATAAATTGTTAAACAGTAGATTACACCAAATGCGGGTTTATCTTCAGGGCAACTATTTTCTTGGTTGCTATGCATCATTTTGAGCAAGTTCTCCTTATCGTAACTTTAGTTCTTGCTAATCAGACTCTTTTGATCCTTACAATTACTACCATCCAAATAGAGAATGGACTAAATGCATCTGGATTCTGTTTCAAGAGAGCTATTAGGGATATTCAGAAGAAAATTTTAAGTAAACAATAACCATCATCCATGATAATTAACTCATACCCAATTGCATATCAATTTGTTCGTGGAAGTTTAAATCAACTGTCTTCACTCCTTTGGTTAAACATTCAGCTCAATACAATACAAAAATCGGAAAATCTAAATAATGTGCCAAAATCGCATAATAACATGTATACTTATACCTTTTCGTCGTCAACAGTTTGCACCATTGCAAGATTTGGTACACCAGCTGCAAATGCATGAAAATAAACCCAAATATACACATTAAACAACTTTCATTTCAAGACTTTTCACCACAAAAGAACAGGCTCAATCCCACATGAACAAACTAACAATTCACAGCCTAGTCAGTTGCTCCACACTTCTATACATAGTACTAAGTCTTTATATACAATACTGATCTCTTTAAACCGTGATCTTTCGTAATCAGATAGCTTATTTAACAGAACATAATAACCTTACTTGGTTTCCAAAAATGCACATATGCACACACAAACAAACTAATGGAAGAACTGAAGTACAAAAAGCACTTTTTGAAGGTTCTGATCATTAACAAGCCAGAAGTCAAATTTACAAGATAAATTGATCAGAAAAGAGATATTAAGGCATTGCAGACATACACAACAGCGTCTTCACTTTATTACTCTGCAAATTCCCAATGAAATGCCATTCAATGTCCTCCGGCAGCTGAAATAAAACAATAAAAAAAATGGATGATAGTCATTGTTAGGGCAAACAAATCGAATACGAATATAATTCATCAATTTGGGAACAAATCAAAATGAAATTGGTACACAAACGAAAGGCTTACCTGAGGAGCTTTCTCGACGATCTCTTGGACGTAATTCTCGCCGAAGCAGCGGTGGCCGGCGTCGTAAACTTGCCGGAGGAGGGGGACAGGCTTGGTCTTGCCCACGGCAACGAGCCGTACCAGGTCCGACGTGCGGCCGGACCGCTGGGTGGCCTGGTTGACCCGCCGGAGCACCGAGCTAAGAGCCGCCGCAGCCATGGAGTCCGTGGTGGAGGCCGCCTGCATAAATCCTTGAGGTGATGGCTTTGACGGTGTGGATGAAAGCAGATCTTGTGTCAGCTCAGGTACCACTACTTCTTCTGGTTCTGTATTTGTTCATTTTAAAAAACAATATTTGGTTTTCTTAAATAAAATCTATATATATATATAAAAAGAATTACTATTTTTCTAAAATAGTAGGTCAAATTTTGGCCAGTATTAATTACCTACTATTTTTAGTAACTTTTTTATTTTTATTTTTTTAAAATAGGCAACATTAAATACTGCCCTTAAATTATGGAATTTGTTACTTTTGTTTCCCGAAAATAAAGCTACCTTAAAGAAACTTTTTTTTATACGGGTGACTAATTGTTTTAGGTTGTAGTTTGATTTTTTAACAAAAAGAAAAAATGAAATCAGATTTTGACCTTCTCCATTTTTTATTTTTTTTTCCGATTATTTGAAAAAAAAACAAAAAGCAAAAAACCAATTGACTTAGAAATCAATGTATGTACATATTTTTTGTGGTATGTCTTTTCTTCCATAAACGTCTTAATTATAATTGGAATTAAAATTTTATTACATCATTTCATACAGAAAACACATGCCCATGATATTTTGAATTTATTATACATCAATATTTATATCTATCAATTTGGTAATCTTTTTGAAAAAAAAATTAATCGAAAAAAAGCCGCCAATATAGCTTTAATTTCAAAGTTCAAAATATTTTGAGTTTATTATATAGTAATATGATAAATAAAAAGGAAACGATTTTAAAAATTTATTGAGAATTTATAAAATTTATTTGTTTTTGTTTACAAAAATAAATAATTTGCTTAATTTTTAAAAAAATCAATATTTGAAATTTTAAGGCATGTCTGACGCACGGGTTTCCCTTTAAAAAAATGTAATCTCGCATAAATGCCATTTTATATTGAAATTGTATATTTTTTGGTGTTTTAAAATATTTAAAAAGGAATTCATCGAGTTTTAGTTCTTATACTACATAGCGTAAATAGAATTCCGTGTTGCGTAAGCTGTAAGAGTATAAAATGTACTTTGTTCAAAATATCAAAATATTTGCATATAATAAAATTTAGTGGTTAATTTAAAAAATTATCTTAATACATATTATAGGACAATAAATCTTTGAATAAAACATTAGTTGAGTATTATGATGAATAAAAAGAGGGTGATTTTATTTTGGTATAAAATGTCCGAACTTAAATAGTATAAATTTCATTTGGTATGAAGAGAAGTGTATTTGAATTTTGAAAATAAAATAAGTGGTATGAATTTTATTTAGTACAAGTATGAAAGTCGAAGTTTAGGTTGATTTGTTATAAAATCAAGGTGATATGATTCTCAAGCTTTACTGTTTTAGAATATTCTCATAATAACTTGCCATAAGACAAGAAAATTGGTGTGTATTTCTCTCAAAAAATAGAAAAATATTTGAGCAAATATTTGTTAATAAAACTTAAAATTTATAATTTAATTATAGAGAATTAGTTGATAAATTTGACGATAAGGTAGCCGACAACAATCTAGAAAATTTTGAGACTGGTAAAATATAGATATACATAAAATATACAAGGATGTTGATTGTGTAGTCCAAACTTAGATTCTAAATTTAAAATAAAAATAAGTAATTATTTATTAACTTGGAGGTAATTAGAATAGTCAATTACTTATAGTTTAAAAAATTACTCAACTATATAATTTTTTTTGAAGTGAAGAGTTTATACAAAAATAATTTTATTTTAATTAATTAAATAATATAAAAAAATATTTTTTACTTATTATTCACATAGATTTTTAAATATATGATAAAATTTTATCAAAATAATTATTTTATGTAACCACATTGTATTCCAATTAAATTTCTGAATGAAAATTTCAAAACGACAATTATTTTGAAATGATGTAATGCAGTTTAATATCAGTTATGTGCACCGTACGAGTTGATTTTATATTTTAAATTTATAAATATTATTTAATGAGCATTTTCAATTTATAAATCTTAATGAATATCTTTTACCCGTGCATCGCACGTGATTCGTACTAGTTGACTCATTAAAAATATATATATGTATATTATTTTTAATAAAAGTGAAAAAAAGGGTAAGTTCTAAATAAATTCCAAATCAATTTTCAAACTTCATTTTCGTCTCTAGACAAATAACTTTCAGTGCATGACGGATCTATAAAATTCACTCGAGAGGCTCGATTTTAAATGTTAAATAATGAGTTTGAAGTTAAGTCAAAACACTCATTGCGTATAGAAATGCATTTACTATAAATATAAATTTTGATACGTGTACCATCAAGTTTTAAAAAACTTAAAATCCGTATTATCCTCAAACTTTAAATATTGATGAAAGCTTATTAAATGAACATTTTTTAAAGAAAAAATAAATAAAATTAAAAATATGTGATTAACAAAGAAAAAAAAGAATAAAAATTAACATTAAAAAATGCAACAATCCAACTAATTAATAAATACTCGGTTTTATAAATCACTGAACCAATTTACAATTAAGTGACCGAAACAGTAAATCATTATAAAAGTCTTCAAAAGTTTATCTAAAAATTTAAAATGTAAGGATTGTTAATATATTTTTCAATAAATAAATGATATTATTAATTTTAAAAAAATTCACAGGAAATAAGTTTTAATTAGTAATATATTGCAAATATTTTTTATATTTCTATTCATATTTTGTAATATAATATTTTCTTTATATATATATTAATTTTTCATAAATTATAATTATTAATATATTGATTTTTTTTAATTTTTTTATCTATGTACATATTTTATAGTATTTTATTTATACATATGTATATACTGATTTTTTTATAAAAAAATCAGGGAGGCCCACAGTCAAGGACGAATCTGTAGGGGCCCGGGGGCACTGGGCCCTCCTGAAATTTTTAAAAAAATTCAAGGGTATTTCTGTAATTTCACAATAATATTAAAAAAAGTACATGGTAAAAGCGAATGGAATTTTTTTTGGCCCTCAAGCAAATGAAACCTTTGAAGGCGCCCAAACTTTGGGGTTTACTCATGTCGATAACCTTGGTAAATATCTGGGGATGCCCATTATACATGGTCGGATCACAAAGGATACTTACGCCCAAACTCTGGAGAAGGCTGAGGCTCGGTTGGCAGGGTGGAAAGCCAATTCTTTGTCTTTGGCTGGTCGAGTGGTGCTCGCCCAATCAGTTATCAGCAACCTCTCTTATTATTCTATGCAGACGACGTGGTTGCCTAACTCTATTTGTGATGGAGTGGAAAAGATATGTCGACGATTTGTGTGGGGTGGTAGTGGTGCTAGCCGAAAAATAAGCCTTGTCCATTGGGATGCTCTGCTTAAGCCAAAGGATGAAGGTGGCCTTAATTTAAAATCACAACGAAAAATGAATGAAGCCATGATCATGAAATTGGCGTGGGATTTTTTAACCAAACCCGACCTGTTATGGGTTCAAATTCTTATGGCAAAATATAAATTGAACCCCAGGCTTATGTGGAGAGGCTTTGCATTCCCTCGTGGATCTTCGGTCCTGCGAGCTATAAGTAAGGTGTGGGATCACGTTTTGAAGGGTGTGAGATGGAGCCTGGGCAATTGTAAAACTGTACACTTCTGGACAGATAACTGGACTTCCGGCTCACATGCCTTCACAGACGTGGCTACTGGGACGGTTCCTGAGGATCACCTTTTTTGGACAGTGGATCGGTTTGTTACTATCAGTGGACAATGGAGATGGGAATTATTCTCGCATTTGTTGCCTAACTCAATGATTCTGAGGATTGCATCCATTTTGCCACCACTCTCCATCGATGAACCGGATATGATATTTTGGGGTTTTTCGGCCACTGGTAAGTTCAGCACATCGACAGCATATGAGTCTTTAAATTACCCATTACAACAACCTTCAAACCCTAACTGGAAGCTTATTTGGCGGTGGGTTGGACCGCCAAGAATCAGACACTTTTTGTGGCTTGCGGCGAGGGAGCGATTGCTCACTAACTCAGAAAGAATGCGTCGACGCCTTGCAAACTATGATGTTTGTGCACTTTGCGGCTCAGATCCGGAGACGATAATTCATGCCCTACGCGACTGCCCTCATGCACGGAGGGTTTGGGATCGATTGGTGCCAGGTAACAAAATCTCTGAATTTTATTCGTTTAGTTTCAATCAGTGGCTACTAACAAATCTTCTTAATGGTTTGGATAACTGGGCTTGCTGGTTTGGGGTGGCAACTTGGAAAATTTGGCATGTCCGTAATTTGAAAATTTTTCAAGGGAAGATTTGCAGTGTGGATGTGACGATAAAAGAGATAAAGAAGGTTGTGATGGGCATTGAAGCTTCTATTTCTTTTAATAGGCGACTAGGAGGAACAGGTCTTGTGCGGGAGTGGCAGCTCATCAAATGGCGACCTCCGGAGCCGGGCCGGTGGAAGATCAACTCTGATGGAACCTTTGATAGACTGTCAGGGTTAGCCGCAGCAGGAGGCCTCATTCGCGACTCACATGGACGATGGGTTGGCGGGTTCATGCACAACATTGGTTTATGTTCAATAATCGGGGCAGAACTTTGGGGTTTATACGACGGGTTACAACTCGCTTGGGAGCTTCAGGTCAGAAAATGTTAGTCGAGGTTGATAACTCTAGTATTGTTCATATGGCGTTGAGCTACGAAGAGCCATCAGGGATTCATCGGGGCTTGTTGTTGGGAATAAGAGCTCTCTTGCGGCGCAATTGGGAAGTGGTGATCCGTCATACCTACAGGGAAGCCAATTATGCTGCTGATCATTTAGCAACACAAGCGGCATTGGCTTCGTCTGGTTACTTTAAACTGTATAATCCACCGAATGGGGTTAAAATTTGGTTGGAGCATGATTTAGCGGGGATTGCTTATCCTCGTAGCGTAGTCTTCTAGCTATCGATCTTTGATGGGCTTTGCCTCCCTCCTTGTACCAAAAAAAAAAAAAAAAAAGCGAATGGAAGTTGGAAATTTTACCAAACTAAAAAAAATGGCATTCCCTTTTCCCTTATAGGCCGTAGCACTATCCACCAACACCATCCGTCCGCGACAGCTCCGTCTCGGGTCCTCGGTTCGTGAGTGACTTTTAGTAATATACAAATATTCATAAACTTATAGATTCTAATTGAAGAATGATTTTGAAGAATATAAAATCATTTAAAACCAAAATTCGGTATTTTTTTTATAGACAAAGAGTGATCCTACCACGTTTTCCATAATAATAATAATAATAATAATAATAATAATAATAAAAAAAGCATCTGCAACCTAAATAAATGGTTTTATAATTTTATACCAATAAAATCCTAAAAACTTTATCCATGTGTAAACCAACAAAATATAGCATATTTCGTTTTGGCAGGTTCACAAGCATAGCTACCCAAAAACACCAAAAACAGATAAATCAGAGAAAAGATGACATGTTTAGGTTCTTACTGCTTCATAGTTTACAACCCGAAACAGATACTTTTATAAATCCTGCAAAATTGATAGATTACGGCAAGAAATTATGAGGGAACAAAAGACATTTTAAGTTTTAAGTAAAGCCACCAATCATCAGCAATTATAATTGTCGGCTGTTTGAACCAACAAAACATAGTAAAAGCAAATTAAGGTGTTGACATAGCATCTAAGTTGCGGTTCTTATCGATATCTCTTCGATTATTCTTTTGGAGGTGGTGGTCCAGCCTGTCAGGGTACTTGGTGGCTACCCGTTGGATGGTGGCATTGCTTTCGGCCTTTTCTTTGTGATGGGCGGGCAGCAAGTTTGTGGGTGTGTCAGTCTCGGGCGAGGTTGCCTTCACTCTTTAATTACAGGGTAATTAGCAAAGTACAGAATAAAATATTTAAGATGTGATCAAAGTGAAGGCAAGTAAATTATGATTACCCATTCCCCTTTTTCCCAATAGCAGCTATGTCAAAATTAAACAATGGTGTCCTCACTGAAATATTACCTCCAGCTTTCAAGGGTTGCTCGTCGTTATCTTCTCCTGGTGGCATGTTGGGGTAAAATGAATTCACCAGCGGCAATTGGTACCTGAAAACTTTTACACTTTAAGACCATTTAGCGACCAGAAACACGGAACAGGAAACAAATGAATGAGCACATACTGTACAACCACCTGCATGGTACTAACTTTCAATATCAAATATAAAAAAGATAAAGCTTCTCGAGGGAATCTGTGAATGCCGCCTCCATTGTTCAGGCTGATCACGAAGAAGATAGCCCATGGATGTATACTTGAAAACGAACAATGGCCGGTGGAAAGTCGAGTCCTCCTCATATAAAGGTGCGTACACCTACAACCAAAAGTTCAATCATATTTAATTCTTTAAATAATTTACTTGCATCCTCTCTTATCACCACACCTAGAGCAGAAACTGCAGTGGCTAGTCAAAAAATCCACAAAGACTCGACCTTCTTGATGGAAAATGTATCGATCCAACCACACCTACAGAAGCAAAAAAACTATATAACGCAGTAATTGTCTCTAAAAAATACAGAGGCATTAATATTAGTGCAACTCTAAGAAACGAAGGCCATAATTTTAAAGTATTATCTCAAAGAACTCACAACAAAACACTGCTCAAAATGTTTCACGGGTATAAGTTTGAGGAACAATAATAAATTCAACCACAGTCACAAATAAGACAACATTACAAGTTTGAGCAATGTGCACCACAGTCACAAATAAGACAACATTACAAGTTTGAGCAATGTGCACCACAGTCACAAAGCATCACATACTATCCACAAAATTCAACCAGAACAATCTGCGACACACACACACACACTATTTACAACATAAGTTTCAAACAGAACATCTCTATAACTGAACATATTAATTGGTACCTAAGTGCAGCCTCAGTTGGATAATAAATTATTAAAGCAGCAACATCCTATTAAAAATAAATAAATAAATACAACAGCAGTAGTCACCAGGTTCATAAATTTATAGACAAAAAAACATACAATATCACAAATGTATATTTGGAAAGAGACCCCTTTATTCTGATGAACAACACAACACATCCTACCAAACGATACTCCCGCGCCCCTTTTCAACATAAAACAGAGTTTCACGAGCAAAAATCCAAAAACCCAACCTCAAAAGATTATGTCGTCATCCTTCTCACCACCAACGCCAGCCAGGATGTCCCGGGCTGAATTCACCGAAACGCCCCTCTTAAGCGAAATCTCCTCAGCAAACTTCTCCTCCTCGAAAGCCTTGGCCGCCTCGCGCTGCCTCTCGACCTCCCTTCTCTTGTAACCCTGAATCTTCTTCAGCCTGAAAAAGTCCTCCCGTTCGAGCTCGTCCAGCTCTCCCTTGATGTATGTTATCGTGTTCTCGAGCCTCGGTTTGACCACATTCTCGAGAGCGTTGACCCTCCGGTTTGTGGTCTTGATGGCCTCGTCGAGCGTCAAGAAAGACGTTTGGAGAGTCGCCAGCTCAACAAGAAGCTCGATCGACTTCACGTATGCTGCCCGGCAGGCCTGCACCTGCTGCCCGCCTCGGGCAAGCCCGGTTAGGTCATTCTTGGTCTCGCCACCTTCTATGAAGTACTCGAATTTGGGGAGCTTTACCCCTGCGATATTCTCCTGGTACGAACGGACCTTGAGGGCTGCTGACTGGACGTTCTCTCGCACGACGTGCTTGATGTTCTCGCCAGCCACGTACTTAGCCTCCGTAAGGGCGAAACTGGAATTTCTCATGACGTCACCCATGGATTCTTTTGTCGAGACGATATTCTTGAGGATCTGGCGGAACTGAACAGTGAGGGCATCGCTTTTTTTCTTGAGGAGGGCATGGCCACGGGTGGCTCCCACGAGCCGGGCCTTCATGACCCCAAGCATGGTTACGGTGGGAACCACGTTCAGGCGCTGGGTTTGTCCTGACATCTTTCTTGGGTTTTTCTTTTTTCTTTCTTTATCTTTTTTCCTGGGTGAGATCGAAAACGTCACGTGAAGAGTTCAATATATCCTAATGTTGCTGGAAAAGATCATAAAATGAACAGCCAACAGGAAAAAGATATTTGCGCCGATCAATGGCTAAATTTCTAAATCTATCTTTTTCAATTATCAACGTCTTTGTTGAGATTTTGCATAGTTGAGAGGGAAAACATCATAGATGCGACCACAGAAGATAATGTAACAACATAATAAATATTTCATAAAAAATGGACCTTTTAGATACTTCAAATCCCCTGCCAGTCTTACAATTTACGAATATTTCCTATAACACTTGATACAAAACCTGATATAGCAAAACACTAAGCATGATGAATGGTACAACTAATTAGGGTTGGTATAAGTTCGGTTACCGAACCGACAAGGCCAAACTGATACCGAACTAATTATTTCGGTAACTACAAATAAGAAACCGGTACCGTTACCGGAACAACCAAAATTTATCAAATAAACTTTCTGAGAGCAAAATTACTTGACATTCGAGAAAATGAAAAAATATGAGTTGCATACTCAAAACTCAATTCCATTAAATCGATGGCCAGTTTTATCAAGATGCGTCCCTGAAGGCTGAATCTACTACCCGAAAACAACCGATAAACCGAGCCACATTTCAACAAGAAATCTCATTCCAGAGTTCAATACAATTAGTAGAATTTCCACAATTCACATATTCTCTTCAATCCCAATTAGGGCAAACACCAATATTAAAAATTAGGGCGAACACCAATATCAAAAACTGTACACTCTTTCAGTACCTGAATTTGTGATGCTTCCACTGGGTTTTGCCTGCCAAAGAGAAGGTGTCGCTGCCGATTAGAGTGAGGAGCGAGCGCGAGAGATCTGGTTTCTCACTGAGGAGCCCAATCTGTGAATGGTTGAGCGTGAGCTGAGAAGGTCGATTTTTTTTATTTTTATTTTTATTTTTTTTCTGTGAATGGGTGAGACTTTGATAAACTGAGAGGGTCATAAATATTACTTCTAAGTTCTTACTAATTACTTATTAATAAATTATTATTAAGTATTTAAATTATTAACTATTAAGATTTTAATTCCTTATCGGTTCGGTTTGGTAAAACAGAACCTTTAATGGTTTTGGAACCGATACCGAACCGGTAACATATCGGTTACCATTATAAATAAATCGGTACAGTTCGGTTTTTTTTTTTCTCGTCGATTCGATTCGGTTTTTTATTTTCGGTAAAAAAATGTCAGCCCTACGGCTACAGCACGCCTACCAATTGTGAATATCGACAAAGTAGACGAATCAACTCGTAGCAGTAAAAATCGCAAGTTAACAGACAAAAACAAAAGAAAATTCATAACATTGACTAAATTCTCAAATCAATCTTATTTAGGTCAGTTGAAATTAGCAAACTTTTCAATCCAACAAAAATTGTCAAGTATCAGAAATTGAATCCCAAAATATGGGGGGGCGCGGCCATTTTCTCCTTAACGATCTTCCTCTAAAACTGATGATGCAACAACAGCAAGCGGGTTGTTTTCGAATGAACACACAAATTATCTTTTAGATCCAAATCGATTAATCAATCAATAAAAAAACCGATCTTCACACATATAGGACAAATTCAACATCGACCCAGTGTCAATCAAGCTGAAACGAATTGCACCTTCCCAACACAACACAGATCCAAAAACCTCACAAGAACAGACTAGCGAAAACGAATCACATGTGTTAAATATCAACAAGAGA